TGTGCAGTTTCCCAGGCGGATCGGCCGTTCCCCAGGCCAGCCCTTGGCCGCATCCCGCCTTCGGAGCGCACTCGCTCTGCAATCTCGGAGTCTGCTCGGGGCTGTAACAGGCACAGCTCCCCGACCCCGCTCGCCGGGTGAAGCACAGCCCGGAGGGGTTGTGGCCGCCCCCGCCATCACCCCGAGTCCTTGGCAGGGCTGGTGACCGAAATCTCGGAGCGTGGGCTTTGGTTGCTGGGTGGAGGGGCCGGGACAGAGCGTTCCAGCACGTCCCGCGCGTGCGAGCAGCCTGCAGGGCGACCGCTTCCCCGGCTGGGGAGAGGCGCGTCCGTCTGTGCCGGGCTAGCAGCGAGGTGCACTGCCGGGTCCGGGAGGCTCGCGGCCCCGTGTGCCAGCCACGGCCACGGGGCGCTTTTTTTTTTGGGGTCGGCGGGAAGGGCCTGCCTACATGCCCTGAGCAGCAACACTTCCTTCTCCGCAGGCCGCCCTGCAGCACGGCGTGATCGCGGGTCGCAGGGGCTTCGGGAGCATTTTCGTCGTGGCCAGTGGCAACGGCGGGCAGCACAGCGACAACTGCAACTACGATGGTTACGCCAACTCCATCTACACCGTCACGATAGGTGAGCGCGCGAGTCCTCTGTCTCGTTCCTTCCCAGTGTGGAGAAAGGAGATCATCCCAAAGCACAGAACCTGCCCAGCGGCATGCTGACTGGATAGTGGGAGTCTGTGGGAAAGTGTCTGTCCTGTGGAACTGAACCTTGTGCAGAGGTGCTGGGCTTCAGTTTTCTACAGTTTTCTTTTGGCCTACAGAGTCCCAAGAAATTCCTGCCTACCGTCAGGCCTCCGTCACGGGGGCTGTGGCAGACACGCTGCCGCGTTGAGGCAGTGGCCGGAAACGCAGCGTTCCCATCACGTGTGTTAGGAAAGAAACACGTAATCCGTTTTCTCGAGGGCAGAGCTACACGAGGGCTGGAAGATCGGTGTAATTTCACGCACAGTGAAAGGTTGTTTGTTATGGGGCCTTTCCTGTAGATCTCCCAGCCATGAAAAGCACAGGCTAGGGTCTGATTTCCCTGCCCAGCTCGCAGCCTTTGAGGAAGCCCAGCTAGCCCAGCTAGCAGGACAGGTCCTCGGGGGCTCGTCACCTCGCGATTTCAGCAGTTGGAGCGAAAGAGGCGCCTTACGGTCAGTGCCTTTTACTTTTTGCCAGGCGCAGTGGACGAGACGGGCTCCATGCCGTTCTATGCCGAGGAATGCGCCTCCATGTTGGCGGTGACCTTCAGCGGCGGGGACAAGATGATGAGGAGCATAGTGAGTACCACACAAGGCACACGTCTGCCTCTGTGCTCTGCTGGCCACACCTGGAACAGCCCCGTGCGGAGAAGGGGTGCAGCTCTGTCCCTGCTGCCGCGCGCCTGCCGTAGGCTGGGAGTTGGGTTCCTCCGCGAGGCCGGGAGCGAACGTGCTTTTTGTCTTGGTGCTACAGAAACAGTGCTCTGAGAGGGAGGTTCCTGTTCCTCGTTGTTCCCCACCTCGTCACTCACGGTGCAGTGACCCCCTCTCTGCCAGGGTGTTCACGGGCACGCCGAGTTCCTGGCCCCAAACGCAGATTGCGGCGTGTGTCGTGTTCGCTGCCCCAAGCGCAGGCAGCTGTCAGACCCAAGGGCACAGGGACTGGGCTCCCTCACCCCCCTGCTCTGCGCAGCTGGGAGCTGCAGGCAGACAGCTTCCGAGACGGGGTCTGAAGGAATTCCTCTGCACCGTGTCCCTGGGAACGTCATCCAGGGCGCTCCCCTGGCTCAGCCCCGGCGGCGGCCGTCAGAACATGAGCTTGTTCCCAGCTGCGCCTGTG